TACCCCTCCGGGGATGCCCAAGCCCGCCGACACTCCGAAACCAGCGGAGCTCTCAAAAGAGCTGGCTGGACCCTCCCGGGGGGTACCACCTGTTTCTTCCGAGGCTCCCACCGACGATCGGATGTCGATTGCAGCATCGGAGGGTGAGCCATACTTTTCTGGGGATGAAGATCCGTCAGCGTTGCCGGCCTCTGGGCGGCCAGCGGTGCCAGATACGGACCCGGAAATGATGGCTATGCTTTCCCGGGCCGCCGAGAGTGTCGGGCTCGGGTGGACTCTTCCACCGCGTCCCGAACCCTCAAGGTTGGACGATTGGTTTCTCGGGGTAAGCGAGATCCCAATTCGTCGGTCATCCGACGTGACGTCTCCGTTCCCTCCTTCAGGGAACAAGGGTTACCATACGTAACCGAGACGTTTTGTTAATGTGTACTAAAACTAAAACTATTAAAACATTGCATTTGTTAATTGCAATAAAGCTTAAATAAAAATCAAACTATTTGTATTTATTATAAAATTAGAAATAGTGCCTAACTAATAAAAATGCAACAAATCACATACAATCATTTAAAAAAAAAAATTTAAAAAAAAAAGATAATGAAAACTGAAAATACAAAAATAAAAGCCAATACTATAATATTATATAAATAATACTAAAATAACATATCCTAGACTTAATCATATACCTACCAGCAGGAGCATTTCTAGCCTTTCATGAGTACTGATCGCTCATCAAAAAAGTCTTTTTTGATATTGTTATGGAAATATAGATATAAATTGTCTTTACCTGCACTACAAAATCGGTCACAAGCTGCCTGCCCAGTAAACTGCTTTACAGCTGACAAACTGATGTTTCCTACAATAGATTGTAGGTAAAATATCCACCTCCTCCACTGTCTCCTTTTTGTTTTCTGACTAAAAAAATATCCAATTACACTGTGAGAAACCGCTGCAAATGATTCAGTGCTTGAATGAACTGTCCATATGAATCAAACTGAATCACGAATAATTTCAGACCTTTTAGCAAACCAGTTTGACAGATTAGTTCAAGTAACTAATTCGCGATCTGGCATCACTAATAATTCTGATGCTAAACAGCTGATAGAGAGCACTCAACATGATACATGTTAATATGTTAAAGCAGTCACACTAATCAATTCAATCACCATGCAGCTCCATGCACCCATCTCTTCTTAAACTTATTTTACTCATCTTCACCTTCAGGCGTCCAGACTAGTCGGACTGCCAGGAAGTCCTGCAAGTTGTTCAGAAGGGTATATCGCACCCGGAAATGCTCACGAGCCTTGACAGCACTGGGGCAGCTGGCAGTCATAATGAAGCGCGGACGGTCCAGTCTCACACTAGGGAGACTATAGTGAGTGTAGATAGAGTTGGTGAAGGGCAATTTAGAAGTGGACCACTGTAAGACTGCAACTAATGGCACCTCTAGTCCCTGTAGCAAAAAGAAACATAAAATTTCATTAATACTATTTAATTTAGAAATACATTTATATCATCAATTTTTTTAATTATTACAAAGAAGATATAAATGGCTTTGGGATACATATTTGTAGCCTGTTATCACACAAAATATTATGACAGCCCACCTCATTTGAATCATCTTGTGGCTGATTATTGAGCTGCAGCTGGAAGAGAAAGTTCTGCTCCTCTAGAGCACTGAGCATGCTGGGAAGGTGACTGGACTCACTGTCCATTCTGTAAAATGATGCCATGGCAACTTCTCCTGACTGATGACTGAAGCCGATAAACAATGAGATAAACAGTAATACAAACTCTCTCAGATGCATCTTGCAAGGGTAAAATCAAAATGCATGAAATATCAAAACATTCAAAACTAAAAACTGTCATTTATTATTAATGGATGGCATATTTAAAAACATCAAATCATGGGCACAAATCTTTGTGCATGATTGTATTTTCCCTGTGAGCTATCAAGAATAACAATTACATTTGCATTTCCTCAAGGAAATAGCAGTGCTATTTCAAAAAGTTTGTTTTTGGGCTTTGGTTCTGTATTTAAAAAAATAGTGTGAATAAATGGTTAAATGTATTCCAAGAGATCAAGGTGCATCAAAATTGGGTATACATCAATTTAAATAAAGCATTTAAATATTATTTTGACATCATCATGGTCAGTCACTTTTTAAATGTTGAACATTCTACAACTTTTCAAAATGTAGTGTTAAATTTCTTTTAAAAATTATGACGTTTACAAGTTAATAGATAGCCAATAAGTAAACCAATATATCTTGTGTTATCTACAAAACAATGTTGGAACGCTGAAGTGTTTCAAGCTGAATACATAACAGAAGTTTAATTAGCGACAGAATTTATAACAAACCATGTCTGAGGATGTATTGTAATCACACTCACAGGTGTGCGAGGTCACACATAATGCTTTCTCTTACCAAACGTTGTCCACCAGCAGCACTGAGCCATCTGGCATCATTGGTAAGTATGAAGCATTGAAGTTGGGAAGGATTTTGACATCACGCACACACACTTCCTCTTGAGAACTCCCATTTAACACTGAAACAATCAAATGTTCAAACATACATAAACAGGGCGTCTATCACATAAAGATACAAGAAACCACAAAAATAAGAGACGGTCCATGCACTACAACACTACAGAACTACTGCCTACTTATGCACAAATTATGTCTACTGATGTGCTTACACTATAGCAGCGGAGACAAAATCTATGTTTGAAACTTTCCAGCTATGAAGCAGCTGAATGAAACTGAACCATGTACAAGTCCTATGTTTTCCCCATAAATGCATTAAATATTTTTGAGAGTAGCTGAGAGATTTAAAGAAAAGACAGCCTAATAAAGTCATATAAACATATCCAAGCATCCTCCCTTGAAGACTGGTTGGGTAGATATGGGGAATCATTACTTCTATAATGATGAATGTCTTTTTTCACTTCTTTAAATTAGGACCATTAAGAACCTATTATATCATAATCAGAAACTAAACAGACACTAGTATTTATGAAAAATTCACAAGACAACAGTTACACTGACAATTAAAACACCTGCATGTCTTCAAAATTTAGGGTTGGTAATATAATGTTTTTAAAAAAACTCTCTTATGCTTACCAAGGCTACATTTATTTGAACAATACTAAAGTAAAAGTGCTAATATTGTGAGATAGTATTACAATTTGTAATGTTTTTTATTTTGATATATTTTAAAATTTAATTTATTCTTGTGATGGCAAAGGTGAATTTTTTAGCAGCCATTACTCCATTCTTTAGTGTTACATGATCTGGTGCTCAAATAACATTGCTTATTATTATCAGTGTTGAAAACAGTCAAGCAGCTTAATATTTTTCTGGAAACCGTGATACAACCCCAAATTTTAAAAGAGCAGCATTTATTTGAATAACATTATAAATATCTGTAACATTATAAATGTCTGTAATGTCATTTGTGATCAATTTAATATATCCTTGCTGAAATCTTTAACAAAACAAAAAAAAAACCTTAATGACCCCAAACTTTTGAATAGTAGTGTATATATATATAATTTGTGCTTATAAAATGTGACCCTGGACCACAAAACCAGTCTTAAGTCACATGAGTATATTTGTAGCAATAGCCAACAATACATTGGGTCAAAATTATCACTGCAAAAAATGCTTTTCTTACTTAGATTTTTTGTCTTGTTTCCAGACAAAATATCTAAAAATTCTTAAATCAAGAAGGAAGTCAAAATTATTGACTTTAAGTGAGTTTTTGCTTAGAACAAGCAAAATAATCTGCCAATGGGGTAGGCAAAATAATCTTATTTTAAACAGAAAACAAGATTATTTTGCTTACCCCATTGGTAGATTATTTTGCTTGTTTCAAGCAAAAACTCACTTAATTTTGACTTGTTTTTTCTGAAAACAAGACAATAATTTTTACTCATCTAGAAAATCCTTCTCGATTTAAGAATTTTTCGATATTTTGTCTGGAAACAACACAAAAAAATCAATGTAAGAAAAGCATTTTTTGCAGTGTATCGATTTTTCTTTTATGCCAAAAATCATTAGGATATTAAGTAAAGATCATGTTGCATGAAGATATTTTGTAAATTTCCTACTGTAGATACAGTGGGTACGGAAAGTATTCAGACCCCCTTACATTGTTCACTCTTTGTTATATTGCAGCCATTTGCTAAAATCATTTAAGTTAATTTTTTTTCCTCATTAATGTACACACAGCACCCCATATTGACAGAAAAACACAGAATCGTTGACATTTTTGCAGATTTATTAAAAAAGAAAAACTGAAATATCACATGGTCCTTGAATACACAAAACACAGAACACAAAAACACATACACATCAGTCATACCTTCACTTTGAGAGTGTTGACAGGAAGCTTATCCAGGGACACTGTCAGGGGGAAGATGACCTCATCGCTTAAAACAACTGGCTCATCCACAGGAGACTGAAAAAACAAAGTGAAACTCTTCAAGGGGATACATGGAACAAGCGAAGACACTATTTTTAGTCTATGTGTAGAGCAGGGGTTCCCAAACCCCTGGAGGTCCAAGAAGAAAATTTCAAGGGGATTGTGCGTTTTCAAAGCATGCTTCAAAGAGAAGTGCTGCACTGGTGTATTCAGCATCTAAAAGTTTTTCTTTTCACAGTAAATGCAGCAAACCCCATCTCTGCATGTGCGGAGAGTTCACAGTTTATTTAAATCGCTTTGGCACATTTTTCGAAACAGCTTTAGCATTCTCTAAACTGTTAGTGCAATTGTCACAACTGTTTGCTGGAACTTCAGAACTCTATTGCATGTCTGCAAATAGTAGTAACTCACTCAAAACATTTAATTCATGCTTCAAAACATAGTTGTTGTGTCAATGACTTGGCCAGTGGCACCAAAACACATGCAATTTGCTTAAATTCAAATTGAAATTCAAATTTGATGTGAACAAGAAACTGTTCAGACATCTGAACTTATTGCTATGAGAAAAAAAAAACTTTGATTTCAGAATTGAGCCAAAGCGATTGAGAAAAACTGTAATGTGCATTTAGGAACACAACGTATGCTAGGCTCACTCTATTTACACATTCACATAATTTCCGATATTTTTGTGGGCAGACGTTTACAGCATTTCACAAGTATTTCACCAAAGTAAAGACTTAAGGATTTTAAATGTTTAAAGTTTGAATGTAAAGAATTTAAGGCATAAATATTAGCATTGTACCTTTTAGTGTAAAATAAAATTATTATTAGATATTCATTTTTTCATCAAAACACAGAAGCATTAAATGACACCTTGATGGGCTGTCAGAATTTTGTTAGGTGTGAAAAATGTGTCCTAAACTCTTGATTTAAACGCTTGACTTGATTACAATGATTCCAGATGTCATTTAAAAACTGCAGATTGTATTTTTCTCTTAAATAGTTTCTGTATGCTGGGCTGGGGTATACAGACACTTGAGAGAATACGGGGAGCAAGCAGGTCCAACTTCTGAGAAAAATACTGAAAAGGAGTTCCTGAAAATACTCAGGTCAAATGACTACGGTTAAAACCTCTCTTGGTATCAAAATCAACTCACCATTTTGATCTAAAAATAGTAGAATGCTGTGAGAAGACCTCAAGGTAAATGTTTCTATTTTTTACATAACTTTCATGGTCGACAAATTATAAAATTATAAAAGCAAAAATAAAAAGCTGACGCTCAACCAACTGTAGAGAAGGTTCAATAATAAAAAAATACAAATTTTAAACTTCAGAGGAAAAGCTGAAGCTGATTGTTTATCTTCTGTCTTGTTCTTTTTTGTCTGTTTTTCTCCATCTAACACTACAAATATCAATATACAAGACATCATTTGGTGTCCACATGGCATCACATCATAGGTGAACCCCTCCTGTGAAATCAAATGGCTTTTTTTCTAGATGATGTTTGGAGTCTTCATCTAAATGTCTTTTTCTAGAAGATGTTTGGAGTCTTCATCTAAATGTCTTTTTCTAGAAGATGTTTGGAGTCTTCATCTTATGTAACTTAATATCCTATCATTTAATGATATTTCTCAAAAGTGCTGTTCATTTCTTTTTGTATAAAATCTTCTTTAGTTAACAAAACATTACTGAGTGCACCTGTAAGGGTTAAAGGCAGGACTGTTATAGAAATACACTGCATGAAAGACACATAGCATTCTGGCCAGAACACTAAAACAGGAAGTCATTTCCATTACTGTGACTATCCTCAATTATAAATTGAAAGAGACTGTTCTGTATGGTTGCCAGCCATAAGAAAAGACAAACATATCTCTCAAATAGTACAAAAGGAAATATCAACATTTCCGTGTTGTTATCATCAAATGTATTTGCATGCATAGCATAACTTTAACTGTACAAGGAACAGCTACTCTCCAACAGACTACAGTGTTTGTTTAAGTAACTTACCTGTACAGGAGCCTTGCGGAATTCCCTCACGCCGTTGCCGGGGTTGTTGTGAATGAGGAGCGGCTTGCACTCCCTGAAGCCCCGGTACCTCGGGCCCCCTCGACCTGCGCAGCCCACCTCCGCAGCATCACCATCGTCCGTATCCTCCACACACTCGTCCCCGCTGCTGTGGTAGTCGTGATACAGAGGCTGTGTCCGCTGCCGGTTGTCGCCGGGGCTAACGCTGGCCACGGCGCAGAGAGAGCCAGCCAGCTCCCTCCAAGAGCGACTGCTGTGATGATCCGAGCCGCTGCCGTCAGATCCCGACACCGACGCGACGCTCTGAGAGCGCAAAACCAGCAGAAAGCGCACGGTTTCCCCGAGATAAAGGTGACTGCGACGCGGGAGCGTGCGGTATTTGGCCGGGTCCGACAGGTCTGAGATGGGGACGGCCGGGAAATACATAAAGTACTCGCATTGCGATTCCATCATTAACACCATGACCATCACAGCGCGCTGCAAGCAGACATACAGCGAAGGTATCCGGTTAGCCTGAGCAGCCTGCAAACAACTCTCCCATTCAAGCAAGAATCTCGAAATTAAACGAGACCGTTTTACCTTTCACCTCACTAAATATCACGGCTTCCCAGATTGAAGAAAAATGACATTCATCCTATTTTGTCCCATTTCGGTTGACCGCCAGTTGACGTATACAACACATTCAAGTGCGCTATATGACAGGCACGCTTGTCGAGTTAAGATGGAGTAGAGCGGGATAATAACTAGGCATGAATAGTCGCTTGTCGATAAAGGTAAACAATGGGCTCGCTGTGCAGGCTATTATATTTAATTACTTTGTTTGTAATGGTGTTCAGTTGAAATGTATTATATTATTATTTCCAACAAAATAACGCAATTATATTTTTCCATGCATGGGGAAAAGTCCAGCGTTTTGAAGCTGTTTTGCATCTAAGTTTAAATGTAAAAAAAAAAAAAAAAGTTATTGTTCGAGCTAATGAAGATAGTAACATGGTAAATATGGTTAAACTGTGTTCTTTTTGAGAAAATTAAGCTTTAGATTTGAGAATTCATAAAATCCACTCTTTTTTGTCATGCATTTTACCCCTTCCTTTGTTCCTTTACATCAATAAATGCTTCTATCAAAATTTATTTTAGCTTATTTCATGAAAGGCAATTCATATTACATTTACTGATTTTCATTCAGTACTGAGATCCTGAGGTGCATGATAAGAACACCAATGCTAGCCATTACAAAACATCAGAAACAAATTCATCACATGTAAAAGTTTTATTTTACTACATACAAGTAAACCAAAATCAGGTTCATCACACGCAAATATCTACAGAGGTTTCCCCATATATTCAAGTAACAGAGAAAAATAATAAATATGGTAAACAGGTTTGAAAAAACTTAACATAAACATCACGTGAATCGCATTATAGTCTTAAAAGTGCAGAAGAGGATGAATGTGAATGATTTTAATCATCCTGCTCAAATAAAACTGACTGATATTGACTTACAGATTGTGTTGTAAGAGAACTGTTGCATTTTTCTCATTTGGAGAGCACACTTTTAATTAAACCACTACCCATTTATTTTCCTTCCCTTATGAGATGATCGTTGATGCAGACCGTAGGCTGCATTTGCACCTTTGCATTCCATCTGAATTCATTTTATGGTCAACGAATGTAATGAAAAACTGTGCCAATTTTTGATATATCAAGATTCCAAGCACAGAAACATCAGTACCTCTTTGGTTTATCTTTAAATTGCAGTACCACCGTTAATCTACCTAAGGAGTCATGAAGACACTGAACCAACTGATTTGTATGACACGCAGGTATTACAGCACAATATTGCCAGACTCATTAGAGCTTTCTCTAAAATGAGATGAACGAATGTAAAAGCTATACATCTCAGGCTTAACAGGAAATCAATGCTTAAATTCAATTTACTGTGAATTTCTACAAACGCGATTCACAGTAATAGCATTATTTTCTTTTTAATGGAAGAAACATTAAATCTGCCAACAGCACAGTTTATAAAGAGAAAAAGGTATGATCAAAATGGATCATTGTCTTGGATCACTGACTTTCAAATTATGTCTTTTTTTGTAAAATATAATACGTTCTATTACTTTATATTCCCTGAAAACAACATTTCATAGTTGTTGTTTAAAATCTGAATTTAAATCATTTAACTGTTTTTTTGATTTTAGCTCCATCAATAACCAATTCATGTGAGCTGCAAACACTGAAGCCACTGTGAATAGAAAAAGTGAAAGATAAAGACTGTTAATTAACTGGCAATAGTACAATCCAAACTAGAATGGAATTGGGTATTAAAATGCAAGTCAAATTATGCAGTTGTTTATCAATTACACAAGGAAATAATTGCTAACTATAGCCATGCATATAAATTCTAACTATACAATAAACGATGCACATGAATAGGCACGCACCAGTGACCAAACTAGTGTTTTCTTCATTTCAATACCGTCTGCCTTAGAACAAAGGAAATCAATTCATTGGTAATGTTAGATGTCATCTTGCTGCGTGCATTGAAATTTGCATACAAAAAGCTGGCTGTTCATACATGAGGCAATTTGCACAGTGCATTCCAGTCAAATTCCTACACTACGTTTTCTCAGCACTCACAATAAGAGGAAAAAACATTTTAGTTTGAGAGTATAAATGCAGAAGATACACAGAGAAATGTATACAAAAGCATAATAAATACATAATAAATACAGCAAGCTTTGATAGTAAAGCACTGCTTCACAAAGGTACTAACTGTAAGGCAAAATAACCATTGAGTTTTGGAATTTCAGGTGGAGTTATGATCATTAAAACGTCTATGACAGGCCTCAGAAATTACAGCATTTACCATGCCAATGAACATTCACCATCTATTGATTTTTTTTTTTTAGATTTGATGTTTATTCAAAACATCAAAATAAAAAGCTAAAATATCAACCTCTAGCAAACATCAATAAGTAAACAGACTGTTATAAGAAGTGCAATGGCCAATCACTTAAGGTTAATAAATACAAATCTACAGCCCATTTTGCCCTTTATGAATGGTCATATTATTTCACAGTGTTAAAAACTGGAGATGTTGTTCTCACAGAACCATGGGAGCCGTATTAGCTTATAATGTGTCACAAAAAATGTGTGTGGCATAGAAATCAAAACTTTGCAATGAATTCCTCTTAAAAACACTGTCAAGATTCCTGTTGAGCAATTACCCATATAAATGGATATAAAATGAAATTCCAGCAACTCTGAACAGTACCACTGTTTGAATCTTGTGCCAGACAATGAAGGGTCTGTGATTGCACTTTTGTTGAATTTCATCATGCAGCAAATGGATATCCATCGTGTCTTAGTACTATAATCAAATTCAAATGCATTTCCAATATCAAACTGTTATTTCAATGGATGCACAAGCCTACTTTTTTGGTAGTGACACTGGATGTACACCAGCATTACCATTTAGAAGTTTGGGATTGGCAATACTTTTTTAATGTCTTGTTTTCACAAAGGATGCATTTATTTGATCAAAAATACAGTAAAAACAGTTATGTGAATGTGCCATTCCTGCAATGGCAAAGCTGAGCTTTCAGTAGTTATTACTCCAGTTTTCAATTTCATATGAACATTTTTTCCAAGATTCTTTGAGTTCAAAAGAACATATTTTATTTGAAATAGGAATCTTTTATATCATAATGAATGTCTTTACTGTCACTTATTAATTTAATGCATCCCTGCTGAATGAAATTATTAAGCTCTTTCAACAAGAAATTTATTGACCCCAAACTTTTGAACGCTAACGTACCAAAGATACTTTACCTATTTAAAAGTGGGCTTTTAGCAGTATGTTTGAAACACTGCAACCACTTACATAACATGCACTCACTACTAAATTTTTTGTAACATACCATGGATTCATCATGGACAGGGAAGCAGCATTTTCTCACTTCTCCCCAATATCAAACTCACGACAGTGAGTCTGTGCATTTAGCCTCCATGTGGCATGCATGTACCATTATATCACCCCAACCAATGCAATGTACTCACAGACCTCTTCTTCACTCTGAAACTCTGTGTTGTATAAAATAAGAGTGTAGAAGGGCAAGATGGAGGGAAGGAAGAGTCGATGACAAAGTAGTGTGTTGTATGTCTTGGATATCCCTTCTCCTCTAGTAGTGCAGCCTGTCGAGCCAAAATGGGTCAGAACTACTGACCTTGAGGCAAAAAGGTGCAACTAGCTCACTATCTAAGTCTTACTTTTGAATCAACCTGCTCTAATGATTGATTCCGAAACAGAATGGTCCCATCCCAGTCCTTCTCCACCAACCTCTTTCCCCCACGGTCTTCAGTCCTGAGTATTGAGGGCTCCCTCTTTAGTGGAAGCCCTCCAGCGGCAGCGGCTGGGGGTTGCTGGGCTTGAGGGAACTGCCGAAGATCCAGCAAGTCTTTGTATTGGATCTCAGGCCTGATCATGCGTAGGCAAGCTTCCCACGTGGCGTTGTCTAGTCCCGACTGCAACTCGTAACCCAAGATCTTCACTAATCCACTCTGGAAAGGGCGGATGGTCTTGTCCCGGATGCGACTGGCCTCTATGGGGCGGCCGCCATCACGCAAGCAGATGCGAGTGAGAACCTCCCGTTTGGTCCTAAGCAGGGCCACCTCAGACTCCATCCTACTATGCCCGAAGCGCTCTACATCCTGCCAGAAAGTGAGATTAAAAGCTTGGTAAAGGTGCCAGTCTAGTGCATTCCATTCACGTAATTTCGATCTTTGCTTGTCTGTTAATGCCAAAGGAGCTGGAGCTGGAGCTGCAGCCTTGACCACCCATCCTGATCTTCCACTGGGCATTTGCTGCCTGGCGTTCAGGCTAAAAGAAACCACAGCATCTAGCGGCCAGCAAAGAGCGTGACGGAGCAGCACCATAGATTGGTCGAAGTACTCTGAGATAAGGATGAGCTTGAAGTTCCGACGCACTGCTGCCACACCGCGCTTGACCAGCCCGAGGCTGAAGTTGGAGGTATAATCCAGACCAAAATCAAACCACATCAGGTTGCGGGCATAATGGTTGTTTCGGAGTCTGGGGTCGTAGTACTTATAGGGGTTGTCTGCAAAATCACCCAGTCCTTTGGCACGCCTGAAGGCAGGGGCAACATTTTTATAGTAGGCATAGGAGGATTCAGCTAGCGCCACAGGGTCTCGAAGGATGGAGAAATAGAAGGTGTCAGCTGGCATGACCTTCTCAACCTGCAACGAAAGTAAAAAAGAGAATCACATTACAAAAAGAATCATCTTTAATCATGTACCTGAAATAAAATATTGAATGTAAATGTTCATAGGAGATTTCTTGTTTTTCTGCTTAGGTTTCTGTTTAAAGAAAATAAAGATGCATCAATCAAAAGAATCTGATTATAAAATAACTTGCATGATTATTTGGTATTTATAATTAATGAAAACATAAATGTACTTGGTTGGATGTTTTTTGCAATTTATGCTTTTTGATGCTCAAACTGATTTACACCAGAAAAACAAGATTAATACTAAAGAAGTAAATCGATTTTATTGCTAGGACCCCTAAATAATTTATCAAAAGTGATTTTCAACAGATCTTTTTGAGAAAATGCCAGCTATCATGTGATGTACCTCTGGTTTGTTGAACCGCATATGATTTCCCATAATGTCAAATTCTGCCACATGAGGGCCTCTGTATCCTTTCACCCTGTGGGCGATAAAGGGCAGTGGGTAGCCAAATTGGTACCCCACAGGCAGGGCAAATTTAAGGCCCCGCTCCTCTCCAAAGCGATAGAGCAAATTGAGAACGGTGCTGCTTGCCGTCTTGTGAGTCTTCAGGAACATGATGTGGGTGTGGGGCTGGCAAGACCCCAGAGAGTCCCCATGGGAATTCTCAGAGGGAAGAGCGTAAAGAGAGTGAGGTCTCTCTGGTTGCATCCAGCTAATGTGGAGAAAGAACAAATTATGATATAAAAATTATAACCAGAACAAAAACGAATCTCCCGTTCCACTTGATATACTAAGAAAAATGACAAGATGGAGAGTGAAATGAACAAAAGAAATTAAACAAGACGAAAAGGCCTACCAGGTTATAGATAATTAAACAAGAGTGATAATTGGGATAAAGTGATTAAGGAAGTAGAGAATAAACAACTTCAAAGAGAATGGCTGAGAATAGATTAGCCTCAAATAATGAATTCAGTGATATTCTGAGAATGTGATATGCATATCATCACTTATAATTGCTGAGAGGCACATTATATATTATTAGAATAAATAAAACAAGAATACCCTAACAAATAGTACTCTTGACTAGTTAAAGGGGTCATATGATGCTGCTAAAAAGAACATTATTTGGTGTATTTGGTGTAATGAAATGTGTTTATGCGGTTTAAGGTTCAAAAAACACATTATTTTCCACATACTGTACATTATTGTTTCTCCTCTATGCCCCGCCTTTCTGAAACGTGTCGATTTTTACAAAGCTCATCGTTCTGAAAAGCGAGGTGTGCTGTGATTGGCCAGCTATCCAGTGCATTGTGATTGGCCGAATTCCTCAAGCGTGTGACGGAAATGTTACCACATGTGGAGAGGCAGTTTTAACATTAAGTGACATGACATCTGACGCACAGATGCCATTGGCACATGCCGCTATGCTCAGTGGCACTTCCGGTGGCACTTCCGATTTTCAGTGGCATGTGTCAGTGGACAGTGGCATGTGTCACAAGTTTTAGTGACACTTTTAGTGACACATGCCACTCTCCACTGACACATGCCAATGAAAATCGGACAGTTCAGCTGTGTCATTTGGAGTTCGGTTTCGGTTTTCAAGTGGTATGTGTCAGTAAAACTTGTGACGTGCCGATGGACTGCGCCCTGTGTCACTGACATTGTCACGATCATGTCGCAGTATGTTGCCTCCAGTTGTGACTGGCAGATGAGTTGAGCAGCTGTAATTGTAACACAAAAATCCTAAATAAAAAGCTGAATTTAGTGATTTTTAAATAAATGTCCATTAAGCGTATTTACAAGTTTATTATACGTTTTTCAAACATGAGGTCAGTGTGTGGCACATCTGTATTTGAGTGGCAGATGACACTGAATGTTGTGCAATAGCCTACCAGTGCTATTGTATGTGGGTGATCACGCAGACTACCCATTCTAGGATACACACGAGAAAAAAATTATCATGGATCACTATACGAATGACGCTGCGTGCACGTCGGTAGGTGTCAGTATAAATTTAACATTGGCCAGTGCCAGATTATCATCTGGCTTTAATATTTTATATAGTAATATAATAATTATATATAAATTAAATGTAATTCTGTTTATAATTGTAACTGTGTAACAAGAAACACTATATATATATATATATATATAGTAGGTGTGGCTGACTCTTAACTTTTATAAAGAATATCTCTTTGGATTTGAGACTTGAGTCTTTGCAACTTTACAGATCTTCTTTATGCACCAAGAGCTTGTAACACTCCAAAGAGAAAGGAAAAATTCAAATCGCATCATATGCCTTTAAATTATATTTCTTAAAGGGATAGTTTAAAGGGATAAATTCAAACCTGTATGACTTACTTTTCAAACTATCTTCACTTGTGTAACGTGTTCCACAGAAAGAATTAAGTCTTACAGGTTTGGAGCAGCATTAAAATGAGTAAATGATAACAGACGTTATACAGGTCTGTGGGGGTGGTAAACTGTTTAGGTGAGAACTGAATTTCTTTCTCAAAAAAGCCAGCCACAAATGTTTTTACAGTGGGTTACTAAAGCATTATTAAGTTCATATTAAGTTATATTATGTTTTTTTTTCAGCTGGAAATAATCCAGAAACATTTAAGCAACATTATTTCTTAACATTGGGAGTTAATTGACAAAAATATGTAACCAAGCATGTGCTGTATAAGAATGCAGTACAAGATAACAAGACAAAGGAATGAAGATAGGAATGACAGCATTTTCTTACCTCTTGTTGAAGATGACTCCCAGAAGTTGTCCCGCAAAAGCGATGACAACAAATACCAGAAGTGCTTTCCATACAGTCCCCAAACGATAACATCCCAGCCACCGCATTCTCCTATGACCAAGAGAAGGAGGGTTAGCCTCAGTTATGAAATTGTGCAGCACATAAAGAGAGTGAGATGTTCATTAATAAAGCATGAAATCATAAAAGACCAACAAAAGGACATTAAAGGAGAAGAATATGAGCATGTGAAGTGTGAAATGTGCAAAGAAAGGAGAAGCCATAATTGGAAACACAAAAGGCACATTATGAAAAAGATTAGTGTCTGAAAATGGAAGACAAGTGATATGACAGAAAAACAGAAGAGACAAACAGACAGGTGTATCTGTTGTCAGATCAAATCCACATATATAATACACACAAAACGATTGAAGGCTGTTATCAGAAACTCTTTCCATGCCTGATGCCTCTATCAGCAACCTAGACTCTCTGCCACACAGGCTTTGATCAAAACGAACAGACTTTTGTCCAATGCTTTTTGCAAACTAAGTTTGCATTAAAAACGGCTATAGAGGAAAGGTAAACAGGCAGACAAGATGCAAAAATGGCCTGTTTCAATACGCTTGCCTTGTCTTGCTAAAAGGGTGTTGCAGAATTCGCTCAAAGACAGAAAGCCGCTGTCTTAAATCACAGCAGTCGCCGCTCTGAGCCTGACACACTTACCGAGCTGACCGTCTGAAAACCATGATAAAACCCGGCCGGTATCACTATAGATCGGCGCTTGATAACAGCAGCCACGGTGCATCTCGGCCGATGCCTTTCAAATCTGCTCGACGGCGTCTGTGTAATGGAAGTGCTCCCTCCGCGCGTCCATGGTCCGACAGCAGAACGCCTGCACGACTGCAGTCAACTGCGTTAGATTTCCAGTTTGCTTGAGGTGCATGTGCTTCGCTTCAGCTTCTCGAAGACCAGTAGCTTGAGACGGAGAAAAGGGACTGCTTTGTGTTTTGGGTGAATGTGGGCGGGTGTTTAGGGACCAGTCTGCTGCTATGTGAGTCGAAGCCTGACGTCAGATCGGCTCTTTGCTTACAAGCACTAAATACAGATTCTCAGAAACGATACGCGCGGACGTGATTGAAAGCGAAGCATAAAAGTAAATAGCTCCATCGCTATAGCCGTGAGATTTCCACGGCTACTCCCCGATGTCCTATTTCCTTTTTATATAACATTATGAGAAGTACACATGCAGTGTTTTTATTGTAAGATAAACAATTATTACATATTAATTACATATAATTGACTTGGCATGTAAAGTATATGATTGGAAAAAATCAAGTATTTCTAACTACTCGTACGCCTATGATTTTTTTTTTTCACTTACAGCCTATCTTTTGACAAGTCTAGGTCAGCTAAATTATTTGAAAAATGATATAGGCCCAAATGATTGAAACCATAGCATTCTTGGATTTTTGTTACCAGAAACTCTGTTATATTCTAAATTATACTAACTATAGGGCTATACTAAATTATATACTACATTAAAAAAGCTTTCAGAACCTTTGCCAATTTGTTTCATTTTAATGTCAGTGATCTGATAGCAATATAATATTATAGTGATTGTTCATTTTAAAGTCACAATGTAATTGACGTGAAACCGAGTGAAACAGATTACGGAAAAGAAAAAAAATGCCGGGTTGCTGATTTAATGGAGGCAGATGTGAATGCGAGATTGCAGTCGATTGTAAAAGAAGCTGTGTTTAAATGCGGATGAAACGATTGGAGAAATCCAGCATCACCAATTCAAGCCAATAACTCATAAATTAAATGAAAATCTGTTTAAAATTTGTTTAGATGAACTCATAAAGAGTCATTTGTTCATGAGTCAGACGGGTCGCTCTGTGTTCAGTGTTGCCTGGAGCGAGGACAATGCAACAAAGAGATGCTGAAAAGCAGAAAACATTGGCACGAACTCTAAAGATGTAATTAACTAACACCCCTCACCACATGAAATCTAATAAAACGGCAACACTGCATCAGGGATTCTTGGAATGACAACCCTGTTGAAAAAACCAGCATATGCTGGTTAGGTATGTTTTGACGCTGGGATGCTGGTTTAAGCTGGTCCTTTGCTGGTTTAAACTGGTCCTTTGCTGGTTTATGCTGGTCCTTTGAACTCTAAAGATGTAATTAACTAACACCCCTCACCACATGAAATCTAATAAAACGGCAACACTGCATCAGGGATTCTTGGAATGACAACCCTGTTGAAAAAACCAGCATATGCTGGTTAGGTATGTTTTGATGCTGGGATGCTGGTTTGAGCTGGTCCTTTGCTGGTTTATGTTGGTCCTTTGCTGGTTTATGCTGGTCATGTGCTGGTCTTAAGCTGGTCGGACCAGTTTAGGACCAGCACATGACCAGCTAAGGACCAGCATAAACCAGCAAAGGATAGCTCTAAAGCCAATAACACTCAATAAGCATCTCTGTTCCAAACATCTCCTAAACAATTCACTTAAGAAAGGCCCTGTTCACACCAGATATCTGGGTGATCCAATCACAGATGCCCATTTATACCTTGTATAACCCCTTAAAGTCTCTTGTGACCTTGTCAAATTTTGTTGAGGGAAAGGATTCTGATGTCACATTACTGACAATATGTCACGGTTTTGGTTAGTTTGGACTGAGTTTGTATTGTTTTCTCTGAGTTGTTGTCATGGCTTCTGATTTAAGATCATCATTGTGTTCAAGTGTGTCTCGTTTATTATCCTCATTTGGTCTGTGTACTTAAGTTCCTGTCTGTTCAGTTAAGAGTTTGTCAGGTCTTGAATGTCCGTTTGTTACAACCTTCTCTCTATGTGGATTTATCCATCTGTGGATTTATTAAGGACTGTTTACCTTCATCTTCGTCGTTTGTGTGTTTAGAACATGGTAACCTGTGACACAATATCAGTGCTGGCTGAAAAGCAAATCAAGTTGGCATTACTGGTCTTCCAAAAATACATTATTTTTTACATCCCCACAAAGGTAACGAGTAAAATGACTGTTGTTAAATTTGTCGAGCACCTGTATAATCAGAAACACAACAGCTGTCATTGCCTCAGGGGCAAACCTTACACTGAACTACAAATTGATGCAAACAGACAAATGGTTCTTGCACAATTTATAAATTTTCTAGAGAAATCTGAGATTGCTTTTATGTTATTGTAGATTAAGGAACAAAGTAATGTTCAAAGATATTTATGGCTATCAAAGACCATACCAAGAAACATATCTCACTGTGTGAATTTCAAAAAGGCAGATATCAGGTTTAGATTTCCTTTCCTGCATCTGGTTTCCTGCCTTGCAAAAACTAGATAAACTTTGTTTGTTGGCTTTCACCACTTTTACCTCATTGGTAATGTTCTTAATCTTTAATGTAAGTGAAAGTAAACAGGCTTGACAGTTTTGTATATGTACAAATATTTATTACACAATTGGATTTGTGGATCACTTAATAGACATGCACTCTTAAAAATAAAGGTGCTTAAAGGGGTCATATGATGTTGCTAAAAATAACATTATTTTGTGTATTTGGTGTAATGCAATGTGTTTATGCGGTTTAAGGTTCAAAAAACACATTATTTTACACATAATGTGCATTATTGTTTCTCCTCTATGCCCCGCCTTTCTGAAGCACGTCGATTTTTACACCAAAGCGGCGGCGCCAGTCACTGCAGAACCTCCCAAAGCGGCAGCGTCCACTTCAGCTCTTCTTGAGGTGCTGGCTTGTGCTGCAGAACCTCCAGAGGCAGCGGCGTCTGCCTTTGAACTTTTAGCCTGTCCAGTCACGGCCAAGGAGGCTGTTTATGAACTCTCTGTCCGTCCAGCCACGGCCAAGGAGGCCTTTGTGAACTCTCTGACTGTCCTGTCACGGTCAGGGTGACCGTCTCCGAACTCTCTCCCAGCTCTGCTTTGGTTAAGAAGCCCGGTTATGAACCTGTTGTCCCACCCAACCTCCCTCTCCCTCCTCCTCTACCTGTCATGTTCTTTGTTCTGTCTCCGCTGTTTTCTGTCTGTCCCTCAGGTCATCCTTCGAGGGTGGTTAACGGTCAGGATACGCCTCGGGACAGTCAGCCTCCAGCTGCACCAGAGTTGGAGGATCCCAGATCTCCGTCTCTGGCCTTCGAGACCTGGATCTACCTCTCCTGTCATGGCTATGGAGGCCGTATGTGAACTCTCTGCCTGTCCTATTCTGCCAATGGAGGCCGTATGTGAGCTCTCTGCATGTCCTGTCACGGCTATGGAGGCCGTATATGAACTCTCTGATTGTCCCGTCACGGCCAAGGAGGCCGTTTCCGAACTATCTACCTGCTCTGCTACGCTGAATGAGCATTATTATGAACTTGTTGTCCCACCCAACCTCCCTCTCCCTCCTCCTCCTTGGGGACAGAATTACTGATTATAATGACTTATACTGTGTTTTACGCGTTGCGTTGCATATTGCGCCGATATAGGGAGACATACAAAATGCACAGTGCTGGGGGTACTTCATGGAGAGGTTTGAGAACCACTGCTCTATGATAATCAAACTGTCTGAATGGAAAATTTGTATATCAACCATGTTTCAGATTGTTGACACTTCACATAGTGTGATTTGGTGGTTGGCTGAAGCACTTCCCCTGTGTTATCCCACTGCATGCAGCTGAGAATGCAGTAAATCTCATGACAAGCTGTCTGTAGCCTGAATTATGTGCATGAAATATGTTAGTTTATATATCTTGATGGCTCTATTAGTTGAAACATTCTTCAAAAGCACAATTTCGCATGGTTTTGCTTCATTGCGGCATTATTATGCAAATATAACAAAATGCAACATTCTCACTCCCAACTCGTCACATATTGACGCTTGGTCAGGACCCTTTAAACAGGCGTGGGTCGATCGACGGTGAACAATATCCAACAGGGCAAGGCAAAGAGAGATAATCCAGGTACATAGCAATAATCCAGGCAGGGGCAAACAGAGTCCGAAACAGCAAGACAAAAAGGGTAATCCAAAAACACAGGCAAGAATCTGAACACAGGAAAACAGGCAAGGCAAGGCGAGACTATGACTAAACTAGGAAAACGTCTCAGGTTACTTGTGTAACCATGGTTCCCTGAGTAGGGAACGAGACACACCTTGGTCATTCGTTGACCCGCCTTCACCTCAGGACTACACTCCTCTGGCTTCGCCTAGTCTCTCCGTCCCTATGGCTCCGTTGGGCTCCTCTCTCCCTCCGGCTCCACCTTGGTCCTCGGTCGCTCCGGCTCCACCGCGGCCTTCCGAATCCCCACCTGCGCCTCGGTCGCCAGAGCTGTCGGCTCCACCATGGCCCTCCGATCCCTCAGTGTCACCCTGGCTCTTCGGCTCTCTGTCTCCGCCTTGGGCTCCCCTTCCACTGGCTCCGTCTCCGTCAGTCGGACCCCTGATATCTCCAGTGTCACCTTCATGGTTCCTCCCTCCGTCAACTCCACCATGGACTGATAGTGGAGCGTCTGGAAGCCGCTCCTTAAGGTGGGGGGCTCTGTCATGATCTCTAGCTGGAGTGCCCGTGAGTTTCGCTAGAGGGCACTCCATCCCAGACTTTACCACTCCGTCAAAAACTTCATTTCCCATAATCCTTTGCCCGGACTCATCAACACTCACTGTTTGCACCTGTGTCTCATTTACCCTGTCTGCTCACCCTATATAAGTCTGGTTTAGTTTGTCATTCTTTGCGAAGTCTTGTAAGTGTTACACTGCATCTCTGAGCGTTTCTCCTGTTTATATGTATCTTGGTTTTTGGACTCTTTGCCTGTGTTCTCTGCCTTGTTGTTTAGTCGGACTGATTGCCTGTGTGTTGACCCTTGCCTGCTGTCTGATTTCGATTCTGGACTTTCCTAATAAACACTGCATTTGGATCCTCACTCAGTCTCTGAGCAGTCCGTAACAGTGAGAGTCCATGTAGTGAGCTCTGGTGGTGAGTGAATGGAAGTTCATAGACCG